AGATATAGAAATATTATCTCTGTCTCTTACCACTTCTAGTTGTGAGAAGTCATAAAGGAACACTAAATAAACTTCTTGACTTTATGTGCTATCAGGTCTTTGTACTCTATTTTCTGTCCCTAACTCAGTTAAATACAACTGATACATACTGGATAGGTTTTTCCTTTTTAGATTGTAATTGTTTAACAAACACACAGACATAGATAAAACTACATAAAAACAATAAAAGCAATACAGAATTTCAGGCAAGGTGATAAGAAATTAACAATGGTTGTTGTATTACATACTGTTGGTTACATTGGTTATTATAATAACCAATTACAAGGGGCTGGGGATTTAGCTCAGCAGCAAAAGCGTCTGCCTGGCAAGCGCAAGGTCGTGAGTTCAGTTCCCGGTACCGGAGAAAAACCAAAAAAAAAAAAAAAAAAAACCAATTACATACAATTATTATAATAACCAATTAGATTGGTTATTCAGAAAAACAAAATAGGCATGTAAGATTGATCAAACAAATAAGCATTAATTGTTCATTTCACTTAAGTGTTAGAAATTAGTAGTAGAATTATCTTAGCTATCTTCAATATATATACATATATATACATATGTATATTCATATTTTCCCCTTCTTTCTTTCTTTTCTCTTTTCATTCATCCCAGTTGTTCTTTTCTTTTGAGCAGTTTGTTTTCCTTTCACAGTATCTATTGCACTTTTTAGATTTTATTAACTCTTTCAGGTTCTTGCACTAGGGAAACAATACAATGGTTACACATGTGAGTCTGATTTATTTCACTTATGAGTATGGCCTCCAGATGCATCCATTTACCTGTGAAAGCTTTGAGTTTATGTTTCTTTACAGCTGAGTAGTATTCCACTATATAAAAAAAATACCACATCTTTTTATCCATTCCACAGTGATGAGCACTTAGGTTGTTTCCATGATTTAGCTCTTACAAATTGCACTGCCATAAACATGGTTGCACATATATAGTCATGGTATGATGTTTTCAGTCCTTCTAGAAACATACTCAGAAAGGAAATAGCTGGAAAGGGACTGCTAATCTTAGTTTACTGAGGAATCTGCAGACTGATCTCCAAAGTAGTTTCACCAGTCTACACTCCTTTTTCCCCACAGCCCCTCCAGCATTTGTCATTGGTTGATTTCTTGATGACAACCATTCTTTCTGTGGTGAGATGTAATCTCAGTGTTGTTTTAATTTGCATTTATCAAATGACTAATGATGTTGAACATTTTTTCATGTATTTATTTGCCATCTGTATTTCTTTCTCTGAGAAGTGTGTATTCATCTCAGATGCTCATTTTTGGACTGTGTCTTTGAATTTGAAGGGGCACGATTTTTTAAAATTCTTTATATATTCTAGACAGAGGTCCTCTGCCTGAGGAACAGTTGGCTAAAATGTTTTCTGAATTTGTGGGTTTTCCTTTTACTTTGTTGGCGATTTCTTTAGATATGCAAAAGCTTTCCAGTAAGATGAGATCCCAGTGGTTGATTCTTTAAAGTATTTCCAGTGCAGTTTGGTTTTTGTTCATGAACTCTCTGCCTATCCGTATATCTTCAAGATTTCTACCTACATTCTCTTCCAGTAGATTTAGTGTTTCTGTATTAATATTTAAATCTTTAATCCACTTTGACTTTAGTTTAGTGAATGATGATAGACATGAATCTAGTTTCAGTTTCCAGCATGTGGCAAGCCTGTTTTTGCAGCACATTTGTTAAAGAGGCTATCTTTCTTCCAATGAACTTGTTTGGCCCCTTTGTCAAAAATAAGGTGGCTGAATGTGTTTGTGGTTGTGACTGCATCTTCCAGTCTGTTCCACTCATCCTCAGGTCTGTTTTTTTTTGCTAACACCATGCTGATTTTATAATAGTAGCTTTGTAGTATAATTTTATGTCAAGGATTGTGATGCTTCCTGCCTTTCCTTTGTTTCCCAGGATTGCTATTGCTCTTCTGGGTCTCTTCTGGGTCTCTTCTGGTTCCAGATGAATTTTAGGAATGTTTTCTCTAGAGCTGTGAGTTATATTAATGTTATTTTGATTGGGATTGCATTAAATCTGTATAACAATTTTGGGAGCATGGCCATTTTAACAAGGCTGGTTCTTTCTATCCATGAGCTAGGAATGTCTTTCCATTTTCTGAAAACCTCTTCCATCTCTTTTTTCAGAGTAGTGTAGCTTTCACTTTTATTTCTTTTGTTAGATTGATTCCTAAGTATTTCAACATTTTGGATGCTATTGTGAAAAGTATAATTTCCTTAATTTCCCTCTCAGTTTGTTGTTTGTTTATAGGAATGCTATTGATTTTTGAGTGCTGATTTTGTATCTAGCTATAATAGTAAATTTGTTTAATAATTCTAGGACTCTTTGGTTGGAATTTTTGGGATCCTCTATATAGACTGTCATTTCATCTCTGAAAAAATGACGATTTTACTTCTTCCTTTCCTATCCTTATTCCTATTGTTTTTCCTTCTTTTCTAATTTCTCTAGCTAATGTTTCCAGAATATGTTGAACAGGGGTGGCAACAGTAGACATCCTTGTCTTGCTCCTGATTTTAAAGTAAAAGCTTTCAGTTTTTGTCCAGTTAGTATGATGTTGGCTGTTGGTTTGTCATAGATGGCTTTGATCAGATTGAGGTAAAAACCATCTATTCCAATTTTCTGTAGGGTGTTTATCATGAATGAGTGTTGGACTTTGTCAAAAGCTTTTTCTGTATCTATTGAGATGGCCATGTGGTTTTTATCTTTAGCTCTGTCAATAGTGTACAACATTTATTGATTTGCATATATTGAAATTTCCTTGCATCTCTGGGATGAATCCCACTTGGTCATAGTGTATAATATTCTTGATTTGCTGGATTCTGTTTACTAGTATTTTATTGAGTATCTTTGTATCTATGTTCATTAGAGACATTGGCCTGTATTTCATCTTTTCATATGAACATCAATTATATTATTTTACTTGTTTGTAGTAAAATTTAAGAACTAGATTATTTTAAAAGTAAAGTAAAAATTTTCCATTTTTTGTGCCATTCCTTATTAACACATCACACTACCTCCTATTTAATGCAGGCTTCCAAAAAAGAAGTTATTATTTTATCCAAATTTATTTGTCATAGAATTGGGATGTGAAATTTTACCAGCATTACCTAGAAGTGGGTAAAATTTTATGTATAAAACTCATCAAATTGGTTTAAATAAAACAGTATATTGGGAAAACCTCATAGAGTTAAAATATCTTTGTTTACAGTATCTTCCCTCCAATCAAACATGTAGTACTTTGGAGTAAACACTTGGCACACATATTTTGATGGAAGACAGACACCATATTTCCATCTTGTAATATATCACAGATGTTTTTATGTTATCATATCAGGAGCTCATGGTAGTTATTCTAAAGTAATAGGGAGAAAAGGAGTGGGTGATGATTTTTAATTAACCACATGTGTTTTGTAGTATATTTTTACTAATTACTGTGCAAGTACCATTAAGTGCATGTTAGGTGTATATTATTTAATTTGTGTGCTCAAATTGAAGAATATGATACTTTTCATTAAACTCATATGTAATAATATGTGTAATTCCCTGAAAACATTATAATTGCTATTAATAACTTCATTTTAAAGAAGAGGATACTAAATCACAGACAGTATTTATGGGAAAAAAATGAAGCCAAAGAATCAGTTCAGATCCCATATTCTTAATTTCTACATTCTAAAATTTTCCACCAAAACTAAATAAAATGGGTAAATAAAAAGATTATCATACTTACACAAAGACAGTCATATACTATTTCTTTGGGTCTTATAACATACTTCAGCTAAGCTTACTAAGCATTTATTGAGAACTTCATACATGCCAAGAAATTTTTACAAATGAAAAAGGGGGGAATTTCTTTGAGCATTACCTACCATACTTAAAACTTCAAGTTGATAAACATGTAATGAAGACTTACTATGTACGAATTAGAACATATCATTATTCAAACTAATACAAAGATTTTTGCCAGGTAGATTTTATAACAAAATTGGATATTAAAAACATATGTCATCCTGGTACTGTAGGACACTAAAGAGGATATAAATGATCACAAAAAGCTAATCAAGGCAATACTACTTACACTGAATCTTGAAGAAAATTTTGACCTAGATGTGGTGGTGAAGGAATATCAGGTATCTGAAAAAGCACCTGAAAGTGCTAATTGACACTTATGGTGTCAATTAGACTAGTATGCTCAGGTCAAACACTATACACAAAGCATAGGTATTTCATATAAAAGGATGAGAGATTATCAAAAGAATCTCAAAGGCAGATAACCAGAAATAGCTAATACAAATATACAATGATATCATTGGTTAACTTTGCCCAGAAACAATACTTTTCCATAAAACATTGGCTGGCAAATATATGTTGATTAATCAAGATTGGAAGAATTGGCAAGTAGGACATATTAATCTAGGCATTAAAAAACTGGCTCAATCTCTATGCCCTGCTCATTGGTTTTAGAAACGTCAACTCTTCAAGAGGGAAGGAAGCCCACTCCATGCACACCTCACGTGCAGATGAGCTGTTGTGTTTTCAGTCTTCATCCAACAAAACATAATCAACAAAAATCCACACCTAAAGTGTTGACAACTTTTCAATCCATTTCTGCTCATGTCTCCCCTTGAGCTCTTGGCCCCAAACCTTGGCCCTTGGCCTAAGTAAACTTAGACTTTAGACTTATTTTTTATTTTTGCTATTGTTATTCCCTCTAGAGGTTGAAACTGTTACCCTAAATTTTATGCTTATCGTATTGGGAATGGTGACACATCTTGCCAGACCGATGCATAATGCTCAACTTGGATTACACATTATCATGTTTCAGGCATTTGATAAGGACTCTCCCATCTCTTCTCAAAAATCACTGGGCTTACCTGGGTGTGGTGGTGGATGGTTGCAGTCCCAACACTGTAGGAGGCTGAAGCAGAAGGATCATGGTTGAAACTCAGCCTTGGCAATTTAGTACTTTAGTAAGACCCTGTTTAAAAATAAACATTAAAAAGGGACTAATCATGTAGCTCAGGGCCAAGGCACTTGGTTCAATCCCCAGTACTGGAAAATAGAAAAGCATGGCAAAAAAAGAGAAGGGAATACATTGGGCTTACCGTTTCACCAGTCTCAAGTAAACTCAACATTAATTTTAACACAGCCCATGAAATTTCCTCAACATTTCAGTTTAACTTTATCCTATTCTAATTTTCAAACTTCTTATCCTTCCTTCCCTCATATTCAGTACCATCTTCACTGTATGAACTTTACAATCTCAGAAACACTATGCAGGGATAAAACTGCATCTTCTTACACTAGTCATAAACACAGGTGGAATTTTCTTAGGGCATATTTTATGACCAAATTAGATGAACTAAAGTATTGTTAGGAGAGCCCACCTATCATGAAAATAAGTTAAACATCTCCTTTTCCAAAAGGTAGAACATCTCAAATTTACCTGCTGAGATCTTATTTATTATACACATACTGACACTATCAAACTAAAGGGTATTTCCCTCCACTCAGTTCTTCCAAAAAGATAGCATCTGTCCAAAAGAGCCAGGTGATAAGCTAGAAGTGATAAATGTATCTGTACTGGTTTAGATATTTTATATCACATTTTACTCTCCTTAGTATACTTTGTGCTAGTATTAGGTTAGTAAAGTGCAAAATATTTCAGTACATGAAAATACTTACATTTTAGTATGTTTCACAATACCTGGACAATAAACCACCTTAGAGCAAAAACAAGAAAGACTACAAGACTGACAAGGAAAAATTTTTCAGAAAAAAAGAATTAAAATGTGTTATGTACAACTATCAACTCCACACAAAGAATGAAACATTATGTCCTGCAAACATGTATTAATAAAAATAAATAAACATTCCAGACTTAGTGATGCACATCTGTTAGTCCCAGAATTCTGGAGCCTGAGGCAGGAGGATTACCACATATTTGAGCCCAATTTGGGCAGATAGCAAGTTCAAGGGCAGCCTAGACTACATAGAGAGACCCTATCCCCAAAAACCAAATAAATAAATAAATAAATAAGTAAAAATAAATGATAAGTAAATAAGTGAAGTTCAATAGCATAAAGCTTGTAAAGAAACAAATAACTTTAATATTAAAAGTGAGTTATAGGGGCTGGGAATTTAGCTCAACGGCAAAAGCGCCTGCCTGGCAAGCACAAGGTCATGAGTTCGGTTCCCGGTACCGGAGAAAAACCAAAAAAATAAATAAATAAAAAATAAAATAAAAGTGAGTTATAGACTAACTTCCTACAGAACTTCACTAATGAAAGAACTTCAAAAGGGCATGTGATGTTGGTATTTTGATATTGTTCTTTTTTTCTTTTACTGTTCTCCTTCAAATAAAATACTGGCATGTAAATCACACAGCAAAAATAGGAAGCATGAAGGGATAAAAGTCACATGCTGTTCTGTGCTTTCCAAATCTTCTCTATTAAAAGTCAGTAATAAAAATAAAACCAACTTTTACTTTTAGGGTTACAGGTGAAAAATGTGAAGATAATACAGAAAGTTCACATAAGTCAAAAACCCAATATCCCCTGTTGTTTGGACAACTTATATTAATATAGTATATTTGCCTTAACTAATGAACTAATATGGATACATCATTATTAGCTATCATCTAGACAGATTTTCCTCAGAATTCTTCTTTTTTGTGTTCCAACATCCCACACAGTTCTTATAGCTTCTTAGCTTCTCTTGGATTTGACCATTTCTCATGTTACTTATTTTCAATAATCTTGAGAATTATTAGAAGTACTGGTGAGGTCATCTGCATAATGTTCCTTGAGTTGCTCCACAATCTCATCAGCAATAGGTGTTATTAGTTTTTCAAATTTTATCCATTTAAATAAGTATGCTGTAGGATCTCCCATAGATCTTTTAATCTGTAACTGTGCATCATTCCACATGCTATCCATATATCTTCTTTAATGAATTATTTGTTTAAACTCTATGTCTATTTTTCAAAATACAGATTGTGTGAGCAATTATTGGTTATGACATTTTTATATACTTTGATGCTACTGCTCTATTTGATATGTGACTTGCAGGTATATTCCGCTAGCTGATGTTATGCTTGAACTGTGTTCAATGTTTTCTGTAGGTGTAGATACCAGAGGTTTAATATACCTGCAGTGTTCTTGTTTCCACTGTGATCTTGATTTTGAGCTTCCTTAAATACTTTTATTCAAAAAGAGTCTGTGTTTTGCAACAACTATATAAACTGTTAGTATACTAGGGATCTATTGGTATTATGATAAAGTTTGGGAGAGAAGAAGATCTATATGTTTAATTTTTAATAGATGTTTGTCTCTTGTCTGTGACTTTCACAAATGTTTATCCAGTAGTGTTGCTTTTTCATACCAGTGTATGCTGCAGGAAAGCAAGAGAAGGCAGATTTTGGTGAATAATGATCTACAAGCTAAGATTTTTGTCAAGACTTTTCCCCAGGAGAGTAGGCTCTTTCTTAACCTTTCAGATATTTCTCAAATCTTTTTCACATCTTTGGTAGAAAAAGATGTGCACCCTAGAAGTGTATAGTTCTCATACAGACTGCAGATACCAAGGGTTTCTCATAATGAATAGCCATCACTTTGTTGAAGTAATACTTGCTTATAGCCTCAAGGGCTTCTGCTCCAAGGAAGTAGATCCCACCTGACCGGATTCTCTCCTCTGGAATCTGGAGTGCCAGGTTTCCTTGCAAAAATAGTTCATTGGTGTATTGAATAAAAGTTATTGATTTGCAGCATGTTCAATGTTTTATTATTATAAGAGCAAGAATGATATTGCTGACATTGGTGATTATGTACTACTTCCTCACTAAAACTGTAGTTTATTTCAGTGTTAAGATTTTTGATAATCAGAGTAATACACTACAATGCTAAAAAAAATCTGAAACTTGCAGAAACATTAGGCTAATAACAAAGGACATTTGAGTTAAAAGAATACTAAGAAATAGAGAAATGCATGCCCTGAGGAAGTGATGTAAATAAACTCTGGCAGAGGGAAAGCAAATATACTCAATTTTTTGCAGAATCTCCATTTATTTTATCAAAATAATGATATTCCACTTTGAAACATCAGATCAGCACAATCTTAACTACAATATGAAACTTAAAAAGAATGGATAGATAAATAGAGATGAAAGTATGCCCAGCTACTTAAAAGAAGTTCACCCTCAACCCCAAATAAGCCATTGACAAGAATTTAGAGTTGATTCAAAAATTGGACTAGTGAGATGGCCTTTCAATACCCAAAATCAATATATACACTTGTAAAAAATAAATAAACTTGAGACTAAGTCTCTTATATAATTGGTACTGATAATTAACAGTGTATAAGTTAATAACCTGTGAAATCATCACACATGTGTTCATAGTAAGGCTTACTAAACAAACCTTGCTTCCTTTTTGAGAGAACTGTCCACTTGATGGAGAAGAAAAATGCCATAAGCAGTATCTCACCTATAAAATGGATACATATTGTTCAGATGAAAGTATAATTGAATGAATATATAGTAGTTTGCACAAAAGTCCCATTTTATTTTGAAATATTGTGTTTGTATGAGATATGTAAGAGGTTTCTGTAATGATATAGAGACCACGATGTTAGACTAGTTCTTTTTCTCTGGTGTAATTGTCCTTTTAAAATTAATAAATAGAATAGTTAAAAAAAGGAAATAGAAGCACTACAACGAGTAAAGATACTGAAGGTAGTCCATTAATTCACCTATTTCTGACTATTCCATCTCTTACATAGTGTTAAGGTTTACATTTGTGACTAAAGGAAATTGTACCTAAAGGAAGTTCCTAAAATGTACCTAAAGGACGTTCCTTAGGCCAAAAAAGAATGATGCAACTTTCACCAGCTAACTGAGAGAAATATAACTATATATAATAATCTTGGGAAAATGTTTGACCACAACGATTAAAGCAGAACATTTGTACCTATAAACAAGCTATTGCACTACATGATAAGCATTCAACAGAAATGCATGCATAAGATGTATACCAAAATATAAGAATTTTCTTACTATCTTTCTCTAGCCAATATCTGGAAATGACCCAAATTTCCATTATTAGATAAATGGATAAATAATTAGTGCATATTTGTATAATGTAATGCCATATGATAATGTAACCAATTAATAGCTCCTATTACAGCATCAGATATCTCACTTAGAAGATATCGAGTTGAAGAAACCATACCCAAAATAGACAAATTAAAGTTTTCATTTGTAAATACTAAAAATCATTAGGAGAAGCCAACCTTTGTGCTAAAATCCATAGTACTGGTAGAGCAAAACCACTGATACTATATTTTACATCTACTCGGTTCACTTGAGTTCATTTATGCTAACAGCCTTTTTTTTTAATCTTCTGAGTCTAAGGGCTCTCAACAGCCACAAGAGAGCTTGTTTGGACTGTGTAAACTCCAATTACTAGCTCAGATAAATAAGCTCTCTTGGAAACCCTAGGCAAGGCAGAGAGAGGAGTCAGTGGACAAATGGAATCTCCCTGTGCTTCAGCGATCAGTTTTGGGGAATGTTCTTCATGAGTTCCCTGAGCATTTATAGAAGATTTGAGCCTCAGGTGCTTACTAAACTAACCCATTCTTTTTTTTTTTTTTTTTTTTTTTTTTTTTTTTTGGTATGGGAATAGAACTCAGGACCTTGCACTTGCCAAGCAAGGTACTGTGCCACTGAGCTATTTCCCCAGCCCTGACTCATTCTTTACTACTCATTTTATGAACCTCTTTCTTATCGCTTTTATCCTACTCTCAGTTGGGAATCCTGGATTCTCTTGAATAAACCACCTGCACCCAAACCCTCATTTTGTGGTAAATTCTTGAGAGACTTAGGTGGTCACTTTTGCAGCTGACTACTGAGTGAGAATTGAGAGATAATTCCAGGGTGCTACTAATGTTCATTTCTTACTCTGATTTGTGTTAAACTAATATGTTAAGTAACTTTGTAAAAATTCACTGTGGGTGTATAATTTGAGCTGACACAAAGCAGTAACCGTATATTAAAGCATATAAGGAGAAATATTAAATTTAAATTATTGTAAACAATAGTTTTATATATTGTTTTTGGTATTAGTATGGTATTAGGATAAGCTAGCTTATAAATCAGCTACTCTTTTATTTTGTTGTTTATTTTGTCCAAACCTTTTGTGAATAAAAATTAGTATAAAATATATAATTTATAAATTAATCAAGTTATTTAACTTTATTAAGTAATATAAAATAATTCACACACACATAGATAAATGTAAAACTCTAGTTATCTTTAGATAAGAAATTAAATAGCTATATGAGTTACATTTTATATTTACAGTATTCATTTCAGATTATATCAAATATTTAATACCAGCTATTCTTTGGGATTTGTTAGCATATCTTTTAAAACTTGCCTGTGGCAGTTACAAGAAAAAATGTAAAAAGTGGTTTTGATTATCATTTTGGATTGTCAACCTTGACAGTTTGAGAGGGATACAGAGACATGAAGAAAGAATATACAGACACTAACACCAATATACTTTTATCCTATTCCTGCGGAAGATTCTCTTCCAAAATAACCAAAGAGCTTGTTATTTGTCAAAAGAGTTATAGAATGGGTCTCTTTTAAAGTAACCTGGGGCACAAGTGTCTGGAAGCAAGAACCTACTAGTGATCTGTTTAGATCTATAGACATTTATAAAGAGATTTTTTTTTTTAACGTCTCCTTTAGCAGGCTTAAGTCTTTTATAGCCATAATCAGGAAAAATATGGTACTTTTAACCTTTTTTTCTTTTCATAAACACAGAAGTTTAATTCCAAATATAGAAGGAAAAATATAACAGATTAATATGTGACCTGCTGTTAAGGAAAAAGTACTAATTTATTGTTTCGGTGTAATCAGAGAAAGAACTTTCAAAATATACATGGTTTAGAGAAGCTGCTCAGGGCTATCGTCCCCTCCAGGGAGGGACCTGAAAGAAACAGATCTCTGAACTTTAGGACCATATAAATTCAGCTGTGTCCTTGAAAGGATGTGGTTTGTATTCTCTTATGTAATAGCCAAGACACACTTTAATCATTCATTCATATGAGCGTTGCAAAGGATTGGCTGTTGAAATATCCATCTTGTTTTCGTGGGAGTCAGTTTCTGACTAGGCTCCTGTCTGCTCTCACCCTAAAGCGGAATAAAATATAATCATAAGAGGATGATGGTGCCAGAGTAATAGAACTGAAGAATGCTGCATTCAGGGTTTCCCTAAAACTCTTTTACAATATGATGGGAAGCTGAATTTCAAGATTCTTTGTTGAAGAATCGTAATTGCTGCAGCATATTATCACCCATCCTTACTTTGAGGCTGCGTATAGCTTTGCCCTGAAATCTACATGTCTTTGTGAGGCATACATTTTTTTTCATTTAAGTCCTTTTATTACACTGGTGCCAGCTACTGCTGCTATCGTTAAATGCCTGTCAGCATTTCCATTATAAACCTTATTTTCAGGGGATTTATAACCTAGCCGTTTTAATTCACATGCGGCTGAAAGTTGCCATCAACGTACTCCGTATACAGTAGGTGCTGTTTTCTTTTATCACCAAATTTTATTTGAATCTTTGTATCAGCCTGAGATTTAGCAACATGTAAAATCATAACACTGAGATGAGAGAAAAGCAGCAATGTTTTGGTAGTTGCTTTTTGAAGTGAAAATGCTCACACGAAAAATTAGAAAGGAGTTATAAAAATTGTCAGACCTATGACAGCAAAAGTCTTAATGGATATATTTCAATCATTATTATTTATAGTATGCTACTCTACTGTAATCATAGCTTTTAAAAATATATTTTCCCATGAATGCCAATTCATATAGTGAAAGAGTTATGATCACTTCAGCATAGCATTCTATTCACTATAATATGTTTATTGACACCATCAAATGTTATAAAATCTTACCATAGTAAGCTACAAATTAATAAACTACAAAGTTTGCATCTAATTTTTTCAGAAATACTGTCTGACTTTGAAAATATAAAATATTTCTACATCATTTCACAGCTTCAATGTGATTCTGTTCTTGGGGTGATTATATCCTGGACATTTTTAGTCACGTAAAACAGTAATTCGAGTATTTCGTAAACATGTGCACACACAAAAATCCTCAGGCAGCCTCAAATATTATGGCTGGCAGCAAGAATACATAAGAAACAGTGTAAACTTGGAGAGAGATTTTTTAGAATGAATAAGACAGGTCTGGTAAGATAGTGTCCATGATACAGTCAAATAATTAAAAACTTTATTTAAAAAACCTTATTTAAACATACAATATAAACATAAAAATATTTGGGTGGTCTCCAGTGAGTAAAATAATTATATTATAGAAAATAGTTGTAACATAATGAGATATTTGATCTTATTACAGTGACGCTCCTTGTTCACAAGCCAGAGCTATGTGTGCCTCCCTCGCTTGTAACCCTCAGCCTGGGCCATTTCTCCTTTCCTCCTTTCTTTGGCCTTTTCAGGCTTACTTAGCAACTATCCTGCAAAGTCAGTTTGTGGAAATTCCCCAACCCTTTATGTCTAGCCAAGTTCTTCAGCCTCCACTTTGATATCTAAGTTCCTCACTTGTCTTTAGAAGAAATCTCTCAGGCCTGTCTGGCAATAATCTGTCTGCTATCAAGTCTCCATCTCTCTCTGTGTCGCTGTATCTCTGTGTTTCTGTATCTCTGTCTCTGGGTCTGTGTCTGTCTGTGTGTCTCTCCCTCTCTCTCCTTCTCTCTGTCTCTGTCTCTGACTCTTTCTCTCTCCCTGCCTCCCTCTCTTTCCACATTGGCCCTTTTTATTTTGAGACCCGGTCTTAGAAATTCACTAAGTTGCCCCAGTTGACCTTTAACCTGTGATCCTCCTGATTCCACTTCTTGGACTGCTGGGATTACAGAAGTGCCCTGCCATATCTGGCTTGATGTCTCTTTTCAGTAATATTCCATCCATTGACAACTTTTCCCTGTACTCTGATTCCTGGCTATAAACCCCAGCCGCGTTTACACATTCAGAACTGACTGTTGATCTGTCTCTCCTGTTGCAATATTACTATTGTAATAGTCTTGAATAAAGTCTTAGTTTCTGTTTTAACAATGTTTTTCTATAAAAGTATTTATCATTTAACAGTTAACCCATATCTGGCACTGCCTATATGCTTTAAAATGCAGAGATGCTTATTTTAATAGAAACATTATTGGACTAAAAGATGAAAGTGTGCTCTTTGCTGGAGTGTGCCTTTTGCCCTAGATCTCAGGTGGTAAGGGTATAAGAATGAAAACGTTGAATATTGATGTAACAAAAGTTATGATATAATTAATGGGAGTATGGGAAAGTTGGAGTACAGTCAGAGAGGGTCTTAGTAAAAATCTAGTAGATAAGCACTAATCTGAAAATCAAGAAATCTAGAAGATAAGCACTAATCTGAAAATCAA